CGAAGTGATTCCAATACATTGAAGATTTATCATTGTACATATACTAAACAATTAAGCCTTAAAACTGCAATCAAGTCCTTTTAGCCTATGTGGAAGAATAAAAGTCCTTCGGGTCCGTTTATGTGAGGTAACTGGATTGCGTTAACTCAATCTCAACCTTTTAGCCTATGTGGAAGAATAAAAGTCCCTCGGGTCCGTCTATGTGAGGTGACTGGATTGCATTAACTCAATCTCAACCAGTTATTTCATCAGACAAGGATGTAACAAAGAAGATTGTGTCATTAAGACTTATGCAAACACTTTAATGGACTTAATCCATGTAACTTTATCAGATATATACACTATTGATCATGTTATATCTAAAAAGATCAATCATGTGACAAGATCTGCTATATAGGCGATCTATTTTGACTTTGACGCAACTCTTGTAGTCAATCTAAATGTCAGGACTTCTAAAGTGAGGTTCAAGAACAGAACCAAGCTGATATAATTTGATAACTAGTCTTTTAACTAGTGTGTTTATTTTATTTATTTATTTTTTCAAACAGACAGGAATGGACAGCACAACGTATATGCCTATATCTCTATCATTGCCCTCTTCTTTTGCATTCCCCCAGCAATCTTCGTAAGTTTATCTGATGCAAGAACTGAAGGATGATTCTTTTTTCCCCCTGTTGTTTCTCTGAAGTTTATTATTAATTGGATGTTGGCTGCTTCCAGATTGAGGGTCCTCAACTTATGGAATATGTTTTAGAAATGCTATTGCAAAAGTAGGCCTCTTCAAGTTTTTGTCTGACCTGTTTTGGATTGGAATGTTTTACCATCTATACAATCAGGTATCCCTTATGCTGGAATTTAAAACTTCAATATTACACAGTCTGATTGATGAACTTCCACTAACTCTGAATATAAACTTTATAATATTACACAGTCTGATTGCTGAACTTCCGCTAACTCTGAATATTACACCTACAGCTGGCTACTAATACTTTGGAACGTGTTGCACCATTGACACATGCTGTTGGAAATGTGTTGAAGCGAGTTTTTGTCATCGGGTTCTCTATAGTGGTTTTTGGTAATTACTCTGGTTTGCTCATAATTGGAAATCAGGGAGTGGATTCTCTACATTTCACTCTCCTGATAGTTGCAAACTTGTGCAGGCAACAAGATATCCACCCAAACTGGCATCGGCACTGTGATAGCAATAGCAGGCGTTGCCATCTATTCTCTGATCAAGGCAACATGGAAGAGCAAAAACGGGTTAGTTTTTAGTTTACTATCTTGCAGCTTTGTTTATCCCATTAAACGAGCTGAATCCATGGCAACTAGTAGTTAATCTATGGATCTGTCTTCAGAAAACAAGCCAGTTTAAGCTTCTTGTTGAAAACTACTAACACAGTGGAATTTGTTACTTGAATCCCAAATCATCTTCCGCTGAACATTGCATGTTCTCCCTAGCTTGGTAAATGTAGACTTCTACAATCCCTGAAAGAGATTCTTGGGCTTGATCTGGTCTGCGAAATTTTATGGGGCTCACTTTACTGAATTACTGTGCTTTCAAATAATTTCAGAAGGCTGCTGCAGCTGTTTCATCATAAGGCTCGACCATGTTACGTCAATGCAATGGCAGACGCAAGTCATGTGAATTGTATTATATACGGAGGCGTATCAATATTATGCATAGAACTAATGCTTCAGACTAGCCAAGCTTTTGATGTTGAATAGTGCCATGAAAATAAAACCCCTTAAGAAGAACATTGGATTATGGAGCATATCCATTAAGAAATATGGGTTTGCATTTTACTTCTTCGCTCTTTATTCAATGTGATCCGCCAAGCAAGGGGAGTCTAGCTGCAAAATATGACTGCCACTCACTAGCATGTTTTTAGATTAAACCAATTCATGTGCTAACTTATCAACTCATAATTAACATAATTTGATTTTACAAAGATAGACCTCCTCTCATTAGATTGTAGGAATCTCTTGTGGCCTGATATAATGAGTATATATACTTTAATATCATACCCTGTGCCTCCTCAAATAATGAATATAGACATGATTTTTGAAAAATGAAAAACTGAAACTTTTTTGATGTGAAAAGCGAATACCAAAGTTGCCGTACTGTGTGTTTTTGTGGTATCAATAGGGGTTGGTTGTTGTTATTTTGTTTCTTCCATTTTTATTTTTCTCGCTTTGCTTTCATGACATACTTTTAATGATACACTTTGAAGGAGATAAATGTTTGTTGCCTTAAATAAAGAACGATTTTTTTAATTAAAAAGAGCAAAGTGCCATTAATAACAAAAAGTCATTGCAATGTAGATTTTAAAGAAGTACACGGAACTTAATAAAGAAATAAGTGAAGGTGACGTATATTTAATGAAGGGTAAGGTGCACCCAACACACCTGAACTATTTACCCAGTGCGTCCAGTGACTTAAAGTAATTTTGGGCGTATCCAGTGTCCTAAACTAATTAAAATGGTGCGTCCATATCCCAGGCTAACAGAAATGTTGTTTAACTGTTACTTTCCTGACTCAGCTTAAAGTTGACCCCAGATTTCTAATGGTAAACATATGGACAGTTGATATGATTATTCTACTCAAAATTGAATTTATTTCCTTCCTCTTCTTCTAAATATGACTTTTGAGTAAGAATAATTCACATGGGTGCCCATATGTCTACCATGTAGAATATCTGGGGGTCAACTTTAAGGGAGTCAGGAAAGTAAGGTTAACATAACATTTGTTAGCCTGAGATATGGACGCACCATTTTAATTGTTAGGACACATGGATGCACCCCAAAATTACTTTAGACTATGAACGTACTGGATAAATAATTCGGGATACTGGGCGCACTTTACCCTTTAATGTAATGAACCCTATATGAAAATTAACGAAGTAGTCCAATAGGTGCAAAAGATCTTACTCGACAATGCTGCTTGATCCTTTTAAGGATTGTTTGCAAGAAATTTGCCTTTTTAGGCCCATAGATCAATTGTTGATTCATTATCAAACAAAAGAAATTGAATAATCCATCGAGAGCTAACTCTCATACAATTGAAAGCAAAGAGGAATCACCATAAGTTAAACCTTTTCCATATAAAATGATGTACAAGTTGACTATGGAAATATACCCATACATGACAAAAAACCATTTCTTTTATGTTGACATAACGTAGAATGATAGTCCGTCTAGAGAAATTAAGATGAAAGCAAGAATTTATTGATGGGTAAGAAGGAAGAGTATGATTGGCCTTTTGAAAAGATGAGTAAACTATATTACAAAAAGAAAAGGATTAGTAGTTTTTTTTCTCATGTAGTACCAAATCACATTTGAGCCGTATAATGTTAAGAAGTTATGATATTAAATTCTAACGTTCAAACTGCAATATCATTGTGAAAGGACAATTATAGAACAAGTGAAGAAGAGATTTCTCTTTTTGACATCCAAACAAACATCGTCCAACCCTGCCTAACCATTGAATTTGATCAAGCAAGTTTATTAAGAAGAATAGAATCTTTAAAATACATTTAGCAATACAAGGGGCATACAAAGATCTAATTAGTGAATTATTCCACTAAAGAGGATTCCATCTGAAGAGATCATGCTTTAACAAATCTGCAACTATCTAAATTTCTCCAACATTCTATTTGAGATGGTTGATGATTAAGCCCACATACTTAATTATGTCTTTCTAAATCCAATGATACATTATAAAGCTGTTGACGAGGGGGCTTGAGATAAATTAACATATTTTGCCTTCAAAATACAAGCAGTAAGAGAGGAAGGTGGTGAGTCAATGATTCTTTTAACATTTCGTTATAGCTTCGTGAAGCTATCAACTCAATCCTTGACTTGTCCATCATGTCACTAGTGAGTCATGTACTGTTGACATAAAGCCAACTTAAGTGAGATTAAAACGCCACATCACCACACTGTCATCTCAGTCAAAAAGTACCTATCTATGTTTTATGTGTCTCAGCAAGAAGAGGCATGACCTTAATACTTCAGTAGTTCAGCTTTTGTGATCATATTTTGTCTAGATGTTTAGCTCAATCTAACCCACATAAAATTTTGGAACATTTTCAGATGTAAAATTAAAGATGCCAACTTCTTATGTTTGTGTTTCGAAGTTAGTACTGGTTATGACAGCTTCTTATTTGTGTTTCTAAATTAGTGCTGGATATTATTTACTCAAGTATCATCGAGTCCAAAAAATAAAAATAATAATAATAATAACAACGTTCACAACTTGCGCTAGATTTCACATTAAATACTCAGTCTGGTACTTCTTATATAAGATGTTTCCTGTAAAAATAAAACAAAAATATATAAAATATTCTACACTTGGTAGTTGGTATTGAATTGAATGTAAAACATCTGCTCATGACTCTCAAATCAATAATTAAAATTTTGAAGGGCAAAAACCAAAAGCCAATAAAAAAATTTTAAATTATACTCTTCCGATCCTTAATATAAAACATATTTAACTAATTTGATTAGATTAAAGAAATTAGATAAGTTATTTATTATAAAAAATATGTCATGTTTTCCTTAAAAAACATAGTCATCTTTCTTAACATCCTCCTTCTCTTTTCCTTAATTATGATTAATCAAATATCCATAAAAATAATTTAAAAAAATTAATAAATATGATAAATAAATTTTATATTTAAAACTAAAATCAACTTAAAAGTTAGATTCTATATTAAAGACCGAAGGACTACCTCACTATAATTTGAAATAAGAAACTCTTCTAAAAGACATCTTATAATCAGGACCAAAGAGAGTATATTGTATCCCTCTATCTACATTTATCTATATCCATATCTATATTTTATGTGATTATTAAACTTACAGGAATTCTAAAAATTTATAAAAATTGCATCAAGTCATTTGACTTGTAAATAATACTTGGCTTATATTGAGCTCCATAATAGTCTGGAAAACGAAGCTAGTTGATTAGTAATTCCTCTGAAGATATTGAGCACGATGAAGAACTGTAAAAAAAAAAAAATTAGACTGCACCCAAAAAAAAAATCAGAAGCCACTGAGAAAAGAATAGTGGCCATGTTTGTCTTGACATTATCTTCTGTATTTGGATGTGGCCTACAATTATTAGCACATTCAAATAACTGCCTACAAAATGCACTTCTTAACTTTCTCCGAGAACCAAAACTATAGTTAACATCCTCTTCCAATTCAATAATACAAAAAAGAAAAATTGCAATAAATAAGCTATTCTTTCCTCATGCTGCCCCGGCAACCTAACACCATCCAGTAATGTACATACAGGGATTCTCTCGGGAAGGATGCTGCAGAGGATTTGCCGATTTGCCTAGATAACTTAATAGCAAGAAGACCTGCACCATGAAAACACCTGTAGATTGATATAGAGGTTGGTTACGGATCACAAAGCACACGGAACGTATGAGGTAAGATGAAACCATTTATCTTAACAAGAAATTTGAAACCCTATAGAACATCAATGAATGCATATATGTGTGTTTGTGTGAACAGCACACAACTGGGGAGTTTGAAGTTCGAACCAACATGAATGCATTACCACCCGTTATGCCATGAAAGTAAGCAAGGGTAACATTTCAAAATTTGAGCGCACCAGTATAATGTTCCCAAACTTACAATTTAAGCATAGTCCATGCTGTAATCAGATTAAATATTATGTCCCGACGGGCTTCTGAACCCATTCGAATGTTCAGAGATTTGGCAATGGACTGAACTCTATCATCACTGTCATAGTCCATCTCTCGCATGCATCGCCTTCGAACCTTTTTTAGCATCTCTTTTGAAGGTTCCAACCCAGCAGCGATCTGCAAGCAAGTTGAATATGGGTTATTAGAAGCCTAAAACATTACCACATAATTAGATAAATAAATAGATTACACTTACCATATCATCAATTACAGTCAGAGCATCTTTGACATTTCGGTTCATGAGGTGGGCATCCACAAGCAGAGAATATGACATTACATTAGGCTTTACACCCAAGCTCACTAAGTGCTCAAACACCTTAGTTGCTTCATGTGTCTGCTACGAGAAAAAAAATTAATGAGTCTTCACAAGACAGAAGTGTTCACAGCCTGTGGTCTTGAACCACGAGGCACATTAAGTTTGGAAACAAAGAAAAAGAGGACCACAAAAAGCAAAATACGTCTTTCCCTTCACGTATCAATTCAAATTACAATGCAATGAATCAGTATAATATCTAATGAAGTTTTATCATTTTCTTTCTCCCTTCTCTACCCCTCACCAAAGAGAAGAGGACACCAAAAAGCAAAATATGTTTTCCTTTCATACGTCAGTTCAAATTACAATGCAGTGAATGGGTACAATTGCTAATAAAGTTCTATCATTTTCTTTATTCCTTCCCTACCCCTCACCCTTCCACTAAGTCAAAATGATAAGAGGGGCCAATTTTTGGGGTAACTAACAAGTACATATTGAAAGCACTGCGTGCAAAACACAGGTAAAAATATCCTAAGCCATTTTTATTCTGGGATGTAAGAAGGGATGGGGTACCTTTTTGAGCTTCCCAAATGCAAGCATTAGCGCATTATATGAATGAATATCCGGTGTCAATCCAAAACTGGATCCAATTGCTTCAAAAGTTTGGTATGCACGATCAAGGTCCCATATGTTTGCACACCCTAAAATGATGCAGTTTAGAGCAGCAACAGATGTATAAGGAGTCTCTGCTCGGCTCAAACTTTCCAGTTGAAAATAAACCTGAATTACATGGATGTAATAACCTTAGATGACACTGCAGGTGAATATGTCATTCTAATATAATAAGTAGATTACATGTGGCAGCCAACTTAATCTAAGAAGGGTGCAGACTATGTTTCAAAAAGATGAGTATAAGTGTGATTGCAATAAATTAAAATGAAATTTTCTTTGAATATCATATACTTCGTATTATCAAAGAAAGAAAGCTACAGCACAATACGTTACCAACAAAAAGAAAAAGCAATAACCAGTAAATCACGATAAGAATGAAATGAAAATAAATCATGAAGTTTACGTATTACTGAACCAAGAGAAAAACATACAGAATCCAAACTCTCAAATCCCTTCTTGGAGCATGCCACAACCAATGGATGTAAAGAAGTAAAGGGAGAGAACATTTCTTCAACTTCTTGACTGGAATCTCCATAAGCAACCTCAAAGTCATGTAGCGTACTAAAAGCCCTTTGTAAGTTCCCCATTGATGCAAGGGCATTTATCTTTCCGAGATAAGATTCAGGGTTAGGAGCCTTTCTTTGACGCAATGTGCGACGTAAAATTGTCCATGCTGCATCTAGCAGACTAGAACTATAGGTCCTACCTGCGGTGGCTAGGGCTGACACAATTAAACCTTCATCTACAGAAAGCAATGCAGCCGGTCTTGCGAGCTCACCCCTTGCAATCCACATAGCCATAAACTCCAGGGCATAATAAGCTAGCTTGCTATTATCCTGCTGCATTGCAGTTTCAGCTATTAAGTAGCACACGTTCCACGGGGGGCAAAGAGCTTTGTTCTGATCCATTGTCTGGAAACAGCAAGAACACCATTACATAAAAATTACAAACTTTTTAATAGATCGAAGAAAACAAATATATATAAAGATGGCTTAAAAAATGATTACTTACCTTGCACTTTTCAATTATTGCTGCCAAAGTATCTAGCCTACCCTTACTGATACAACTATTTACACAACTTGTAAACACATTCATTGACAGCATATAACTTGATTTCAAAGCCAAATCTATATATTTCAATGCAGCATCAATTTGGCCAGTCAGAAACAGCATTCCAATGACCAAGTCATATGATTCATTATCAGGGCGAGATTCATTTCCAGTCAGCAGCATCCTGACAATGACAGAAAATTTTTATGCATTACCAAAATAAAAAATTAAAAAAAAAAAATCCAACATGTTTGTTCAGCATATGCACATTAAAGTAATAATTGCATTCGTGATGAGGAGGAAACATAAAAAACATGGAGCAAGTTTTATATTTGCACGATCATCAAACATAGTGTATAAGGAATGGAAATGTTGCGGAGAAATAACAATACCTAAGCCAAATCTAATTATTAATGATATGTCAGCCCTCTCCCCCACTGAGTCACATTCATTTCGAGCATGTTCGTAGGGATGTCAACATATGCTAGAATCAAATCACTGCTTAAATAGGTCTTGCTTAAGTGTAAGAAAAATTTCCGCTGTCAAAATGTATGCACTACTTTTTCTTTCGCTTGCCCCACAGCAATAAGAAGTGAATGTTCAGTAATGCTGGAGAATATCTACGCTCTTACCGGTCACTGGATAGAGCAATCGTTTCTCATCTAATGTACTGCTGCCCACGGGTCGTAAAGGTTCTGTTTTTAAATTTACAGACAACTGTTTGTTTTAAAACTACAATCTGAAACTACTACTTCTAATAGTAGAAAATTAAGTTGGAGTAAGACCAGACGCAAAGTCATAGAAAACCACGTCTTCGATTACTTCTTATCTATACAAGCATCCTAGCGTTAGATAAATACATGACAAATTTACATGCACCCGTCGTCATCTGCGAAATGCAACAAGAAGATTTATCAGCTAACCGTTCCAGTAACTTCTGAGCAGCTTCAGTCTCCCTGGCGTGGTACATTGCTTTAAGCACCAAATTGAACGAAGCGGTATTAGGTGTGATACCAAAATCCTCCATTCCAGCTAACAAATCAAGTAGCTCCCCAGCAGAAGAACCAATCATCAAGTTCGCTCTCAGATAATGATTATACAAATTCACATCGGGCTTATTCGGCTTCCCACTCTTGCCCAATGACTTGACCCAAGACTCGAACAACTCTTTGATAGCAGCCCATTCCTGAGAGGCCACCCAAGCAGAAAACTGATCCATCAAGCTCTTAACATCAAATGTCTGAGCCATTGTTTGAATGCGATGACCGGGTACTAGATTAAGAAACCCAAGTGGGATCACTGACTGTGTTGAAGATGGTGGATTTGGGTTGCGCCAATTCTCATTGTAGAGAGGACTACCGGAGGCAGGGTTGGGAGGAAGCGGAGTTGGGGCGGCCGGTGCCGGAGATTCGGCGAGTTGAGGCTCCTGAGAGACGAAAGGGAAAGTGGTAATCGTCTTCACAGATGTATTAGCGCAGTTAGAGTGAAGTGTTTTGATCAGAGAGCGCGTCCGAGCAATGATCGCCATTTGCGACGCCATTGATTGAGCTTCGATGGTGCTTAGGGTTTTCTGCTTCAGTCCAGCTCGGAACCCCCACAGTTCATTATTTTTGGAATGCGAAGAACAGGGGCGATATGGTAGTTTCACTAACTCACGTTAAATATGGGAAATTTTTGAGGTAATTGATTAATTAATTAATATGTCCTATTGGGCCGGAGTATACGGTAAAGGTCCAGCTTCGTGCTAAATGTACGATTGGAACACTTTGCAAAAAAAGGTCAGATCCAATAGGGCAGCCCATTTAGTTCCCAAACAACTCTAGAGGGAGACAATTTTTTGCAGCAGCGAGTTGATCTGCCTTGCCCCATTCATTAAAAAAGAAAAAGAAAAAGAAAAAGGGGGGCTTATTATTCTGATGGAGCCTAAAAATTATCCTGTAAAAAGATTTTTCACAAGGAAAAATGACCTCTTGTTTAAGCTAATGATTTTTATAAATACATTAAATGTTAATGAGTTTATAAATTAGCTTTTGATCCCACATGTAAGATGGAGCCAGTGACAATTACGTTTCATAGCTTATCTGAATTTTCTCCTTTTCCCCTTCTTCATACAAAAATGGCAATGTGAAAAATTTGAAAGATGCCTTTCAAAAAAAAAAGGAGCTACTTTTTGATTCCTACATGAATTATGAAAAAATTGCAAAAAAGATTTTAATTATCTTATAGTATAATGGTAGAGAGATAAACCATATACTCTCTTTGATTTTAAATGCAAAACTTAGTTCTTGGGAAAAAAAAACAAAACTTTGTTAAGAATTCACTACGATTAAAAAAATTAATTAAGTTAATTATTTGTTATTATTGTATAATTAAAATATATGTAATTTTTTTCTTAAAAAACTCCACAAAGAGAACAAGAGCATCATATGTGGGAGATGGAAAAAAAAGGAAAATTATTTTCCAAGTGCATATATCTTTTCTCAATTTTTAAATTGATACCTGTGTCTTTTTTCACTTAATTAAATCATTTAATTTTGTTATGTTAGTACTACTAGTTTTTAACTTTGCTCTATTAACACTATTGGCCCCAAGACAATACAGAAGCTAATGACGCTAACAAGCCAAAATTAAAAGGATTCAATAAAAAAACATATATATAACAAATTAAAAATTAAGAGAAAATACAAGCATCTGCAAAATATTTTTTTCATATATTTTTTATACATATATGTTTTTTCATATAGATTAAAGTTTAAGATGGAAGGAAATATATAATATGGGGTGGTCCAATTATTCTCTTTTCTTGGTGGGGGTATCAAAACACTTTGGAAACACAGATAAAAAAGTGATAATAAAGCTACCACAGAATGTGATGCACAGCCAGATTTGCCTTGTTTTGTCTATGTGACCCCTCTTGTCAAAAGGCCAAAAATTCGTTATTCCTTCAAAAGTTCTTAAAAGTTAACACAAATGTGTTCTTTTTTTCTGAGTCTTGTTTCTCATCATTGCTCATAACCATCGATTCACGTTATAAAAGATTAACAAAAAGTAATATTGATCAGTCTAAGACATTCTTATGATCAGCACTCACTATGATAATTTAAACTACAAAAACAAAAAAGGTTACCAAAATCGATTTGGTTGCTTGTGCCACGTGTCCTTTTTTGTGGGGTATTAGGTTTGATCCTTATCTTACTTTTAATTGGTGCGGCGGCAACATAATTTGTGTCTCCTGTACATGTTGGATTTTTAAATATGAGACCCATATTTGATAGGATGCTTTTCTAAATATATTTGAGAAATTTTCTTTCTAGAATACTACCGTATCTTAAAGAAGAGAGTATTTTTTTGCCAAAACAAAGAAGGAATTTAATCATTAATTGAGTAGTATATAATGACGAATTCTAGTGTGAAAAATAACAATATAATTATATTGCTTATTTATTATTAGAACTTTTTGGTAATTAAATACCTTGTAATTCTCTTTTTTTTCCCTCTTACTATTTGTTTATCTAATACTCCTTCTAGTTAGCTTTGCACCTTATATCCTTTTGGGTCTTAATGTATGCAAAGTAGTTAATAAATGTTTATAATAAATATTAGGAGTATTAAGATGTTCCATTATTTTCTTTTTTGGGGTCAAGTAGCTCTAGTGTTATCACTAACTAATAATGGCGGAATAATTAGTAAGAATATATAATTGGTGTTTATTACTTAATTTAAAGTATTGGTATGAATGTATCGTTAATGTGAGGATATTGTTAATAGGTGGTTGATAAATACTTCTCTAAACATTTAAATTATGAGACTTGCGTGAATCCTATGAGTTTCTTTAACTTGAAGTATTTTTAGTCAAAAATTTGTATAAAAACTAATCATCTAATTTTCTGTGGTAAAAGTATTGTCGAAAACAACTCATCCAAACATAAATAATCAGGGTTGTTAGAACCAAACTGGGTCACCTTATTAGGAATCAACCTAAGTTTGATCCAAACATCTACCATGTTTGGGGAAAAGTAAACTGCTCAAAACTGATAGAAAACCAGGCAGAACCAATTTTTCTTTCTTTCTTTTTTTAAAAAAGGAAATTAGTAACTGAAAACTTTGCGTTTTTATTTGTCCTTTGGTTGGTTTTTCTTTAGGGAAAATCCCAATAACATGATAGTTGAATTTGTAACTTCTCAAATGATCACTTAAACTTGCAAAATTTCAAATGAATTAATATGATCAAATTGAAATTTTGAAATGTTGGTCAATTTATAATATTTCCATTTTTTTATAAAAAAAAACTCCAAGTCACCCCACCAGCTGATTGGCTGCCGAAACTCCGGCATTGGAGGTCAAGTGGTCTCTAGTCATCGGAGCTCTAACAACTATTTATTGCAATTCTGAGGAGGAGACATTCTTATCGGCTAGTCGTCAGAGCTCTAATGATCGGAGGTTACTTGGCATTGGTACTTGAATTATAAAATATCAAAAAGGTGATGTTAAGATGTCAAAACTTTTACAAAAATATTTAACATATCCTTTTTAGAAATTTAAAATTTAAGTGGTATTTTTGAGTCTTTTTTTTTTCCAACTTCAAATTATGTTCTCACAAGCTTGTGTGTGGATTTGGACTCCCCTGTTACCTCATACAAAGTTGTCCCGGAAAAGAAATACTTGAATGGGAAATAATTCAACTAGAGTTTCAATTTGTGATAAAATATTTTAGAAAATTAAAAGACCTTATGCTTGTTTCATTAATCATAGAATAAACAGGTAATTTATTCCCATAAATTATATCTCAGTTGGATTTTTCGCGTCTTTGTTATCGTGCTTCCATGCACTCATTAAAATTAGTGGCTTGGCGCTTAAAATTTGCATGTTGAAAATTATCATGATCTTGAGATCTTTCCAATTTATAGTTGTTCAACAACTATTTTTTAAAATATGAAGAAAATTAATAATAGTCAAGGAATTGGATTCCTGCCCATCGCAGAAGATGGGAGGGAGACCATCTCACAGTGGGCAGAGTCAGCTTAAAATTTCACGGTTTTAACTTTCTATATGTGCAATTTCAATTTTTTCCAGGTGCATATTTATTTTTTAAAAAATCATTAAAAAAAAGTATACTACTTCATGACCGCAAAACACCATAATTAACTATCCTTAAAGTTCATTGGCAAGTGAAGATTAAGCAATGGCAAGTTTTAGAATTAAAAATGATAACAGGTTCATGTTGATCACTTATCATTAGAATGTCTTAGCAGGGCTTTCAATCATGGAATTAATTTCCAATAGAAACAATTAAATATTTATTTAAATCAACACATATTTATATAAATAATTAAATTAATTAATTTTTTAATGTTTATAAATTAGACATCTATGTCATTAGATCTGGGATGAGAGAGGAAGTGTTAACAAATGAATCATAAAAAAGTAAACTTCTTTTTTTTTTAAACAAAAATTACTCCTATGTTAGTATTAGTGATGTTACTATACTTTGAACTTATTTAAAATAGCATTTAAAAACACTTCTAAATATGTCTTATACAAATTGAGATAAAATTTTTCTTAGATACATATTTAACAAATTACTCATAAATTATTTTAAACAGGTCCCTTTTTACTTTTTTGTGAGCCTTTAAAAGATCCGCATTCACAAAACCGTATAAAGAGAATGAGGAGACGTACAGGACCTTCTAATTTTAGGGCCCAAGGACCCACAAAAGCCGCTGATCCTTCCATTCCCCTCAATCGTCATTTGCTAACCCAAAGCAGGTTCAACGTCGAGCACTCAAAAAGTTTGTCGTGTTTTGAAAATGACATCACCACATAATTCAATACTACCTCTGTTGATTTTTATTTTAATATTACCTCTTATCCTAATTATAAGAGTTAGTTAATTAATTTTAAAAGATTAAAGAAGTAAGTATATATGAATATGAGAGATAAAGTGGATTGTGATCTTATCTTTAGGACAAAAATAAAAGTTAAATAAGGTCTTATATTGAGGACCGGAGATGGTATTAAATATAAGACTATAATTTATTTTATTTTTTATATTTATTTTTAAAAATATTTATTCTAATAATAGTAGCTTTAATTAATAAGTTTGATTAGCAAGGATATTTTAGAAAAGATAACACTTATTTATTACAAATAACTAATTTAATTTATTTTATATTTTAGAGAAAAAACATATATTTATTACAAATAACTAATTTAACTTTTTTTAGTCTACTTAAATTAGTCAACTAACTCTTATATTTAGGATTAGAAGTAGTATCACATTTAGTGTTAATAGGAAAATACCTATATTAAAAAAAAGTATACATATATATACACTATCACCAAATACATGTTTAAAAATATATTTTTATGTCTGCGAAAGCGACACAGTAAGGTTGGGTGTAATGAGAAAATTTTCTTCCCAAAATTTCTCAATATCCGTGAAGAGAGGTTGGAGGAAGATGTGGTAGCTTTCCCCTTCTTTTTTCTCCCTGTAGTATTTTTTTCCCCATGTTTTGGCATAAAACAAAGTCTTTTTCTCCAGTCCAACCACGAGGTAAGCGTCTCATATCTTTTAAACACGAGATTGCTTGTTTAATCTTATATAATCTCGGCATTAATAATAGCACGTACGTGGGCGCTCTCTCGTTGGGTGAAAAATTTATTATTATTTTTTTATAAAAAAAAAACAGTGTATGAGTGTCGACTGCGACCCGTCGGCCTCGCCCGAGCAGGCAGAACAGCGAATGAGCGAATCCTCTCCCATGTGTAGCAACACCGCGGTGCTAATATACTCATGCTATTTGTGGCGGATAATTTGTTTACGAGTATTGGTGGATTGTGGTCCATATTTAATAATGCTAATGTCACGCCTGAGAGTATGTGAAAAGTTGAAAAAGATCTTTCTTGTAAGTTCTAACCTTTTTAATTTCTTTTAAACGCTGCAAGGATTATAATCATTTGCAAAAAATGTATCTTTTTTGAAGTTAAAGGTCCTGTCGTAAAATACTTGAGCAGAGATTACGAAGCGCATCAGATACCGACACCCCCGCCACCAAACTCGCCCTGCCTTTCCTTCCCATCTTCTCCAGAATCCTCCATTTTCCATACCTTCTCTTCCTTTCTCTCTCCATCGCCTCTAGGAATACCCACTACGCTCTGCAATATTCAGTGGTTAGAATCACCAAGTCATGGTTCTTTTGGTGTATATTGGGCTTCTCTTGGCTTTCACTGGCCACTCAAGTAAGCACCTTGATTCCCACTTTTGTGTTTCAGATTTTCCACATTTGGTTAACTAAACTCGTCCTTTATACGTTTTCTCTGAGATGGGTTCTTTAGAATTTTGCCCATTGAGTTTGAGATGGTGAACTGGGTTTCACTGATGAAAGACTTCAACTTCAATTCAGGAAACTCTGATGATGGTTTATACAGTATCTGGTACGAACTAACTAACTGGTTTTCTGGGTGTTCATCAAATTTTTGAACAATAGGTGCTCTGTACTGTGTGTGTAAGGATGGTGTGGGCGATCAAGCTCTCCAGAAAGCTCTGGATTATGCTTGTGGAGCTGGAGCTGACTGTACCCCTCTTCTTCAGAACGGTGCTTGTTATCAACCCAACACTGTGAAGGATCACTGTAGTTACGCTGTTAATAGCTACTTTCAGAAGAAAGGTCAAGCACAGGGAAGCTGTGACTTTGCTGGCGCTGCTACTACCACTCAAACTGCTCCTGGTTAGCTCTCTGCATCATCATCATCTTCTTCTTCTACTAACCCCACCATCAGTTTTTGAACTTCCACTGTTACTGATATGGATCTGTCTCTCTTTTTCTTGTGTATTTTTTGTTGTTGATGCTTAGCTGCATCATCTGGATGTGTCTTCCCTTCAAGTGCTAGGTACGCTTCTTGACTTTGAATCTTTATCTATGCGTGAATTCTCTGAATTTGAAAGAATGTCGCTTTGTGTGTTTGTGTGTGTGAGGTCTTGTAGAAGGCTTGATTGCTCATTGAATAGCAAGCTGTTGGGTGTTTTAAAGATGTGCTAGTCCTTTTGTCATCGACCAGATTTTTCTGTGGAAGTCTCCTTTTCAAGCAGCCGACCTATTTCCTTTTCTCTTTGGTCATTTTGGTGCAGCTTCCTATAAATCTTTCCACTCACAGCTATTGCTATTCAGCTACAAATGATTTCTGAGCTAGACTTACTGATTAACTTTCACAATTAACCAAGATCGATGTTCTTGTTTGAAGTCTCTACCTTTCCCCTGAATCATAACTCTGTTGCTGCAGAAAAAGTTTCTTTCCAAGCCTGGGTTTATCTCACAAGAATCTTGTCCTCTTGATCCCAAATCTGCACTTAATCACATATGTGAACTGCAAAAAAATGAAGTGCTCATGTGGGGTTTGCAAAATGATCATATTACCAATAACCTTGAAACCTAGTGATGTAAAAACTCATGTAACTGAGAGATCATGGGTTAAATCCCGTCTATAACTTCAGACAGCCTTGTGATGAAATAACTTCTTTTCCCACCTTGAAGTGTGTATTTTCTTCATAATTTCTAGCCTGATTTGGTTTTACATGTTGAAATGATTTGATGTGTCTCTTGTTGGTCCGGTCGTAACAGTAGCAGCCCAGGAACAGGAACAGGAACAGTAACGTCGACAACTCCATCGACATCGCCGACAACAGGGATAACAGGCACAACACCTTCCACTACAACCTCAATCACACCCCCATCCACAACTACAGGGACAACCACAGGGACGGGCACAGGAACATCAAGTCCCACGTTTGGTATAAGTCCTACGGCCACCACAACAACTGGCACTGGAACTGGCTTCAACGACTCTAGCAAAGCAGTGGCTCTTATGCAATCCACTGTGTTGACACTGCCATTATCCCTCCTTATCTTCTGGTTAATGTACATTATTAGGGTCTAATCTCAGAGTGGTATATAAGTATGTATGAGTATGTAAACTTGGAACATCTGGTAGAGAGGATGAGAGAGGGATGATATCTAGCCACGATATGAGAGGTAATATTGTAAAATTATATAAGGAATCATCGAGAAGAATGCCCCACTTGGTTTGGTTTGTTGTTGGTTCCCTCCGTCCTCATGCGAGGGAAAGAGGTGAGAGAATTAGATTCGTGTTTCAGTGGAGATATGATACTTGGCTTAGATCATGATGTTTATTACTGCACAAGTCTCTTCTCTTGACGCCAAGATTTTTAATTTTTAATTCTTTAAAATAGCCTCGACCGTTATCTATAAATTTTGTTTTTTTGTTTACATTTACTATTTTTTCCTGATGTTTTGAGTATGCGCAAATGTTTTTGACGCTGAAAGATTTAGAAAGTGAAGGTTGTAGCCCCTCGAACTCATGGACTGTTGGCTAGAGCAAATTCTTTTGACTTTGGGAGTCTTGGGTTCCTTCCAAGGATCGTAAATGAATGAAGTAGATGTTATAGTTCAGTGCTATGCAAATAAACCATTTACATTTTGGGGAAAAAAATTGGTCTTTAAATGTTATTTAAAAGGGGGAGGGCGTGAATAGTAATTGAATATTTGAAATTCCTTACGTTTTGTTTGGATGGAGAGGAGAAAAACAAATAGAATAGAGAAAATGAAGAGAAGAGAAAAGCAGAAAGAAAATGTTATCACCTCCTTATTGAGATGAATGGGAAAAAAAAAGAAGAAGAAAATATCTGAATAACTGAAAAATCTTCTATTTAAGAATATATTATGTTTAAAATCAAATTAAATACATTCTAGTCTAAATTATTTGATAATTTTAAGGTTAAAAAAATAAAAAACGATAATTTTTTGAAATTAGATATATTAAAAAGAAATAAATGAGTGACACAGTATTCAACATTAATGTAATGAGATAAGATGTTTGAAATGTTTTTTTTTTCATTGGGAGCATAAGATTAAACATGAAATTTTCAGGGAAGCTTAAAATTTAGATACTGCTCCTTTCTCCAATTCATCTGGGAGTGAAACTCAGATATAAACAAACCATACATAGAGACAATGATAAATACTACCTCTGGTCCTTAATATAAGACTCTGTTTAACTTTTATTTTGATCCTAAATATAAAACTTCAATCCACTTTTTCTATCATATTTGTGTATTTTTTTTCAAGATAGTCTTTCTAATAATTGTAGTTCTAGCCAATATAGTTTATTAGTAAGGATATTTTAGAAAAGACAACACCTATTTATTACAGATAACTAACTTAACTTTTTTTCCTTTAATCTCTTCAAATTAATCAACTGGGTCTTATAATTAGGACTGGATGTAGTACTCAATGAGATCTCTTATTCGGTTATTCCCCACCCTAAACAGGTGTCATATTTGTCTATAAGAAATTCTTTTATTGCATATTGTGCATAATGCATTTGAAATGATACCACTAGTAGTAGTATCACATAAAATCGATTCATTTACAAAAGGGTTAATATAATGATTAGTCCTTACACTTTTCATTCATTTTGGTTTTGGTTCCTAAAGTTTGGAACCTCCAGTTTTGGTCCTTTAAGTTTGTTCCGTTTAAAACATTAGTCCTTGTATTTTTAAAAGGACTTGGTGTCACCTTTAACACTGTTAAATATGCTGACATGTCACTAACTCTGTTAAATATGTTGATGTGGAAGCAAGTGGACTAATTGAGGTGGTTTATAAAAGATTAAAAAAGAAATTTAACTTAAACCCACTAGGCGGAAATGACCTGGACGTTTAAAAAAGACAAGAATGATTTCCGTCGGTTCCTCTTCACTATTCTCAAATTCTGATAGAGTGCCCTCCGAATCATTCTTGGTCTCTTCCACACCACTGCTATCACTATTATCTCTTGTCTCTTCCTCCCAATCCATATTTCACCTAGCAATATACAAGATCAACTAAAACATGCGTATTCATAATAATAGCCAAAGAATCAACAAGATTGCACATTTTTAAGAAAACAGAGCATAATGGGAACCAATGAAAATTCCAATCAACTCAACAAACTAAATGAACCAAACCAAACAATGAAAATACTAAATAGAAACATGAAAAAATTACAGCAACGAACTAAAACATAGCACTCAAAGAAGACGACTGAAAAAATGCCCTATGCTTTAGTCTACTTCTCCAAGAAATCAAAACTGTTAAGAGAAGTCATTTTTTCCTTGTATTATTAGTTTTTCATAGTCTGATTAATTAGGAGTCTTTCCTTTTGCTATTGGGCCTTGGCCCAAGACGTGTGTATAAATAGGTGTTTAAACACCACCAATTGTATCATCATCTTTCATGGTCCTCTGGGCCTCACAGCAATAATAGCAATGCATTATTTAGCAAATAGATAACTTTTCATGGTATCTAGAAGCCAGGTCGTATGGGTCACCAACCACAAGCCCATTCCTCTTCGTTTAGCCCTTGCTATTCATAGAGAAAGTACGCAGAAACGATTCTGCACTGCTAGCAGAACGCAGAAATGATTCTGAACTGCTAGAAGGACACGCCCTAGCAGAATCGTGTATGACCGATTAGAAAAGTGCTGTCTGTCGGTGTTCCTTCATTACCCATTGTTGTTCGTCTGACCACCGTTGCAAGATTGCTCAAGATTAGGGGTGTTCACGGGACGGATCGGGACCGGGACAGGCCCATCCCGGTTCCGTCCCGATGAACAGTAACGGGACAGATTTTCTGTCCCGTGTCCCGGTCCGTCCCGGGGTTGTCCCGGTCCTGGTCGGGACGGGACGGATCCGAGACGGGACCGGGACGTCCCGAAATTAATTTTTTTAATTTTTTTTTTAATTTTTTAAAAAAATTTTTAAAATTTTTTTTTAAAAATCTGATTTTTTTAATTATATTTTTTTAAGCTTAAATCTTATAAAAACATCTTTTTTATTTGTTTGGGCACTCTTAAACAAAAGCTCAAAATATTACATATAATAGTCATTAAAAACTCTAAACAAAAGCTTTTAACACAATAAAAACTTGCTAAAAATTCTAATAATCAATAATCTCAAATCATTAACAAATATAAAAACTCTAAATAAATATATCCATAGTTCCATACAATAGTCTCAAATCTTAAAAAAATATGAAAAAAATAATATTATATAAAAAAATTAAAAAAATTAAAAAAAAGGAACTGGGACGGGACCGGGACGGGACGACCCCGTCCCGTCCCGGTCCCTTTTTTGTCCCGTCCCGAAAAATTTCGGGATGAATCCGTCCCGTCCCAATAAGACCGGGACCGGAACGGGCCGACCGGGACGGGCCGGCCTTGAACACCCCTACTCAAGATTACTCCAATCAACAATCTTGACAGGAATTTTATTCTGAATTAGTTAAAATCCCTCTCAATTTGTCTTCAATTTTCCAAGATCAACTGAAGCCATGGGAAAAGACGCAGATAACCCAATTACTCCTTCTTCCATCGATTTCTCCCATCCCTTGTATCTCCATCCATCTGATACGCAAGCCGTTACATTGGTGTCGCAAGTGTTACGCGGTTCAGAGAATTATGAGGTGTGGAGCTGATCTATGCGTCTCGCACTCTTTGCCAGAAACAAACTAGGGCTCATCGATGGAACCTGTTTGCATGAGAACCAGGATGAGAAACTTCGTGGGTTGTGGGATCATTGTAATGCGATCATTCTTTCTTGGCTCGTCAATTCGGTTGATAGACAACTTGCCACTGGGATTGTTTTTTCTTCGAGTGCATGTTCGGTATGGTTAGACCTGAAGGAACGATTTCACAAAGCCGATGGGGTAAGAATATTCTCCATTCATAAGGCTATTACTTCGTTAAAACAAGGTGCATTAACTGTTCCTGAGTATTTTACAAAGCTACGGGACTTATGGGATGAGTATGATTCCCTGGCACCTCTTCCAACCTGTCAGTGTCCCACTACACAAGAGTATGCCAAATTAGTGCAGCAACAGAGGCTTCTGCAATTTCTTTCTGGATTGAATGATAATTACCATCACACCAAGACTCAAATACTGTTACAATCTCCACTCCCACTGTAAATCAAGCGTATTCCTTAATTTGCCAAGATGAATCCCACCAACTAATCTCCTATTCCACTTCTGCTCATCCAACCGAGGGTGCTACCATGGTTGCACGAGGAGGACGCCAAGGAAGGGGAAGAGGATGAGGTAGGTCGCAGGAGGAGTGTTCTCACTGTCATCGTAAAGGACACAAAAGGGAAAATTGCTATCATCTGGTTGGTTTCCCTCCAAGTTTTCATGGACGACAAGCCCAAGTCTCCACTGCTGATCACACAATAAATACCTCCTCATCACCTGCTCAAACACCTATTACTCAACAGCAGTATGATCAAATTCTCAAGCTTCTTCAAAAGGAAAAGGATGACATAGCAGTAACCACAACTGAATGCATCGAGGAAACTATTTCAGGTGCTGTTCTTGCCCTTCCTCGGTCCTTTTGTAATTCACATTGGATATTAGACTCAGGTGCTACGTGTCATGTAGTAAATAGCACTGAAATGTTTGACACTGTAGAAGAATATAAAGGACCAATTAGGCTAATTAAAGTCCCTAATGGCAATAAAATGCTTATCACTCACATAGGTACAGTTAAGATACTTGACAATATCATTTTAAAGGATGTTTATTATGCACCTGGCTGCTGTTATAATTTAGTTTCAGTATCCAAGTTAACTGCCAGTCAGGAATTTGTAGTTTCCTTTTATTCTCACTACTGTACCTTGCAGGACATCTCTCTTGGCAAAACAAGGAAGATTGGTAGGCTCCTTAGTGGACTCTATATCATTGAAAGGATAACACAAACTGATACAGTAATGAATTTTACAACTCAGAACCTTTGGCATCTTAGATTGGGGCATGCCCCTTTAGATAAGCCTAGACATTTAGACTTGATAAGAAAGGAAGTCCCTGTAATCACCAATGACAAATGTGTAATTTGTGCTCAGGCTAAGCAACCTTGATTGCCATTTTCTTCTAGCTTCTCTAAAACTTCTTGCTGTTTTGATCTGATTCATGTGGATATCTGGGGGCCTTATAAAGAGCCCACCTATAAAGGTCATAGGTATTTTCTTACGATTGTTGATGATTTTTCTAGATGTACTTGGACATTCCTTATGATTAATAAAAGTGAATCTGTTCATCATTTGAAAAATTTTCTTGCTTATGTTGATACTCAATTTTCTGCTGTAATAATGGTTTGCAATTTATTAATTCTGAGTTGAAATTACACCTAACTGCTAAAGGGATCATTCATGAAACCACTTGCCCTTATACACCTCAACAAAATGGGGTGGTAGAGCGTAAGCATAGGCATCTTTTGAATGTGGCTAGGAGTTTGCTTTTTCAATTTGGTGTACCTTTAAAATTTTGGGGGGAAGCCATTAAAACTGCCACTTATCTTATCAATAGAACACCCTCTACTATATTAGGATATAAGACACCCTTTGAGATGCTTTTTGGCCACCAACCAGATCTTCTTTCATTAAAGATTTTTGGCTGCCTAGCTTTTGCCACTAACTTGCAACCCCAAGATAAATTTCAAAACAGATAAGACCCTTGTGTCTTTCTTGGGTATCCAGGGTCTCAGAAGGGGTATTTGCTATACAATATTCAGACTCATAATATCATTATCAGTAGGCATGTGACCTTTGAAGAAACTAAATTCCCTTTTAAGGATGCTGTAAGTATCAATCAAGGGGGAGATAACCATTTCATGATTGATCCTTTTAGACACAAACAACACATATATGAACCTAACCACTTACCCCCAATAACAATTGGGCAGTATAATACAAATATAGAGCAAGTTTCACCAGGAACAAATGGGAATGGATTTCCATTTGAAAATATGGAAAATATGGGTAGACCTACTCGTGCAAGGAAGCCTCTAACATGGATGAAAGATTATGCCTGTACTACTGACACTTCTTTCAAATCTTTAGTAGGTTATGCCTGTGTTATTGAGCAACCTGATTCAGATATAAAAGGTAAAACAAAGGTAAAATACCCTATGCAGTCTTCTTTGTCTTACTCACATGTATCACTTGATTATAAACATGTTCTTTCTAGTATTGACAGCATTGTTGAGCCTTATAGTTATGAAGAAGCAATTAAGGACCAACGATGGATTGAAGCTATGAAAGCAGAAATAAAAGCCCTACAGGACAATGGCACTTGGGAACTTGTGGATTTACCAAAGAGTAAGAGACCCATAGGATGTAAATGGGTCTATAAGGTGAAATATAATGCTAATGGTAATATAGATAGATTTAAAGCTAGACTAGTAGCAAAAGGGTATAGTCAACAAGAAGGAATTGACTATTTTGAAGCTAGACTTGCAGTGATGAATGAATGGGACCTATTTCAAATGGATGTTCACAATGCCTTCCTTCAAGGGGACTTGAAGGAGGAAGTGTACATGAGCATCCCACAGGGATTTGGCAACGTTGAATTGAATAAAGTGTGCAAGTTGACCAAATCCTTGTATGGTCTCAAACAGGCATCAAGGCAATGGAATGCTAAGCTCACTGAGGCTCTTTTAGAAGGGGGTTTTAGACAGTGCATGTATGATTATTCTCTTTTCATTAGGCAAACTAAATCTGAAACTACCTTGATATTGGTTTATGTTGATGACTTGGTGATAACAGGGAATACACCTGAGAAAATTAATGAAGTCAAAAGGTTCTTGCATAACAGATTTAAAATTAAAGACTTGGGACAACTTAGGTATTTCTTAGGAATTAAGGTAGCTAGATCAAAACAGGGCCTAATACTTAACCAGCGAAAGTATACATTAGATATATTGTCTAACATGGGTTTGACTGCGGCAAAGCCTCTTATTGTCCCAATGGAGAGAAACACAAGATTAAGTGGTAATCCAAAGAATGAGAAGGATGATCCCTTGCTACCTGAACCAACTTCTTACCGGCGATTGATAGGTAAGTTGTCATATCTTACAGTCACTAGGCCTGACATAAGTTTTGCTGTGCAGGGATTAAGCCAATTTATGAATGGGCCGAGAAGATCTCATATGAATGCAGCCATGAGGGTGATGAAATATCTAAAAGGAACTCCAGGGCTTGGAATTATGCTCACTGCATTAAAGAAATGTCAATTAGAATGTTATGTGGATTCTGATTGGGGAACTTGTCCAGACACAAGAAGGTCTATCACAGGGTATGTTGTAAAGTTTGGAGGATCACCAGTGTCTTGGAAATCAAAGAAACAAAATACTGTTTCTAAATCCTTAGCTGAAGCAGAGTATAGGGCCCTAGGAAGTGCTGTTTCTGAAGTGGTTTGGATCACTAGGCTGCTGAAAGATCTGAATGTAAATAATTTAGAGCCTGTACAAGTATTTTGTGAGCAAGTCAGCTATTCACATTGCAAGCAATCCAATTTTCCATGAAAGGACTAAGCACATTGAAATTGACTGTCATTTTGTGAGAGAAAAATTGCAGCAGGGAGTCATAAGTCTTCAACATGTCAGAAGTGTAAACCAGCAGGCAGATATATTTACAAAAGGACTGGGAAGAGAGGATCATCGAAGGATTATGAGCAAGTTAGGGACCATGAACTTGTATGCCCCCAAACTTGAGGGGGAGTGTTAAGAGAAGTCATTTTTTCCTTGTATTATTAGTGTTTCATAGTCTAATTAATTAGGAGTCTTTCCTTCTGCTATTGGGCCTTGGCCCAAGACGTGTGTATAAATAGGTGTTTAAACACCACCAATTGTATCATCATCTTTCATGGTCCTCTGGGCCTCACAACAATAATAGCAATGCATTATTTAGCAAATAGATAACTTTTCAAAAACAATGCCATGTGAATTGCAAAAATGCATAAAACATTGCTTACTTTTTTGTTTGCTATCAAATGCTCACAAAAATGTGATTCCTCCTTCACTGTCGTTGAACGTTGACCGGTCAGTTCCCCACCTCCGGTGACGGCCAGCTCAACTCCGGCAACTACCAAGTGGGACCTTTTGACCTAACCCTCTCCTTTTCTTTTTTCTATTCGAACGAATGGTTTTGGCTTTCGACTCTTGGGTGTTTCTTTTTACCGCCTATTCCTTTCTCTACAATTTTTTTAATCGTTAATGGACCTCTTTCCTCTAATCGGGAATTATTTTATTGGGTTTAAGTCAAAATTTTTTTTAATCTTTTATAAGCCACCTCAGCTAGTCCACTTGCTTTCATATCAACATATTTAACAGTGTTAAAAGTGACACCAAGTCCTTTTAAAAATATAAGGACTAACATTTTAAACGGAGCAAACTTAAAGGACCAAAATTAGGGATTCCAAACTTCAAGGACCAAAACCAAAATGAATGAAAAATGTAAGGACTAATCATTGTATTAACCCTTTACAAAAACATGCAAGTATTGCTACTAATGTGAGCGTTATAAATGTTTATATATTACTCTACAAGTCTTGCTTCTCTCTCCCTCTCTCTCTCTCTCTAGATCATCAACTCTAAGTGTTGTGGATGAGAAAATGTAAAAGAAAAATAACATTGATTTGAACCTGGCTAGCATGGATGCTTGAAAAAAAAAATAGTATGTCATTATGGTATAGATAATTATCTTGACATTTTATTATTAGCTTTTTCTTTGTAATATTCCTAAAAGAACAAAGGAACTTGAAAATTTTATTATTAACAACTTTTACTACTTTTTGAAAGCTTATTTAAAAATCAAATATTTTTATATTCTTCATTTCATTAATTTGTTAAACGTAGGGATATAATTTGTTAAGTATAGGTATAATTACATATGTATATCTCATGTACTTGTATCTTCAATTTTTTTTTTTAAAAACAAAGTATCTTCAAATTTTAAAAGTTAATGGATTTGATGTTTCATTTTAGGATTTTGGATTCTTCGAAATAATTTTAAAATGTAAAGTATGTATTATCAACGTGAAAAAATTTACTTTAGAATCTTCAATCATAATTTTTTACATAAAAAGAAAGCACATATTCCTTTACATACTTATTATTATTATTATTATTACTACTACTATTTATGTTTGCCAACTATTACGTGTTTATTGAAACAAGGTGAATCAACCATAACATTTTTTGGATATAAAAAGTATTGTCGCCCAAATAATTGCACCATCCTTTCTGTAGAAGCTTTGCGTGATTCCTCCATTATAAGGGGTGCCGTGATCTTTATCTGGAATAGTTGATTTATCGAACAGTTAATTATAAAGAAGTATATTTATACAGCAACGCATTTTAATTAGAATTTTAATATATTAATTGGCTAAATTAATTTTTCTATATTAGAAACATCAAAGTTATCTAAAATTTCTTTTAACGACGAAAAAAATGTTTTTTTTTTGCTACGCATAAGCATCCTCCTATTCGAAACAATGTTGGACATTAAATATGAGCACTTCTTCCAACGGAGATTCGAACATTGGTTCATCACTTTGTGAGCAACTAGTCCCTTTCGTTAGACCTAACCCCTGTAAGTTTATTCATGTTAATTTTTAATATGAATAAACCAATAAATCAAAATCAGACAAGCCCAATCTGTAAAAATTGCTATCCCACCCTAACAATAATGGCAATAATATTGTTGAGTCGTTGACACTACATCCAACATAATCTATGAGGGATTGCTTTCAAGTGTCACTCTCGACAAGTTCATGATGAAACTAGTAGGAAATCAATCACATTCAGATTCAGCAATTATTTTTCTCTTTTGGGCCGGGGGTAGAATTCTATATTATATTAACATTCACAAAGGATCGGTTCATGCAACATATATAGGGTTTCCACACCCAGCTGTATACTAATCCATATAGCTATTTCCAGGCCATTTTAAACTTTTGTGATCGCATCTATTGTTCCTATCTTTCATACCCCAACTAAATAAATAAATAGCCAAAGAGAAGCCTCCAATTACCTTCATATGTGCGAAACACAGTGATTTACCATGTTGGTTTCTCTCTGAACAAACTCAAGAATCAATTTGACCGCTGAACCAGGCCTTTCAAGATGAGGGAGATGGCCACAATTCGGTATTTGGCGTAAAATTGCATTAGGTAACTCAGAATGCAGTCGCTGCAAGATCACATAGTTGGTGAGTCATCTTTAGATTTATGATAGTACCAAGTATATTAGAGGCCCAAGATCACGATTTTTGGGCTCATAAGATGTTATACTTAAGGAAGAATGGTATTGAGGAACTCCATAACGAAGATAACGACACTTTGGGCCCATATGATTATGAAATTTTTTGGCAAGCTCATAGGAATAAAGTGAAAACATCCTTCTATATTAAAAAAAAAAATCAGAAATACTGTAAATGCAAGAATCTTTGGTTACCATAGGTTGCGTCTTTTAAAATAAAATTGAGTTACCCTTAAAAAAAAAAAGTCAGGATTTTCCAATTGACAACAATGCATGCGGCTTTTCACAAGTCAATATGCAGATTTTGAGTAAATGATGACTTGGAAGAAAGTTACTTAACAAAATGGGAACACCTTTTAGTCAGTATCTGATTACCTAGTTGCCAGTTACAAAACGACATTTTGCATTTGTATCACGAGTATTTTAGACTTTTTACATTGAAACATACTTTCACTTAAATCCTATGGGCCTCCAAGAGATTTTTAGAATTGCCCAACATGCCATTATTTTCATTGTAGTGGTCCTCAATGACATTCTCCCTGTACTTAACTGAATCCAGCAATACTCAAACCTAACATGATGGTACCAGATGCTAGATAATTTTGTGTGTGTCTGTTAGTACTGGACGGAAGTTTACCACTGCAAGCTTATTGCTGATGATGCGATCATTCTCGCCCCAAATGATGAGAGTTTTGTGCTTTACCTGTTACAGGAAAATTACTAGCATCATACCGAGAAGCAGAAAGTAACTGAAGATATGAAGTGAAAGGCGAGCTCTCATCCGCACATGCCTGCCACTACGTAAAGTGAACTTGTTCAACTTATGAAGCAGCAGACATACCTCTTTTATCAGAGAAGCAACATTATAACCACCACTGGCCATGAAATCTACCGTAGCATCCTCCCACCAAGGCAATAAACAATGCAAGCGACCCACCTATATTAGCAACATCTATCTAAAATGACCAAGTGTACAAGAAGTTTTTGCACTCCCAAAAGTTGTTACACCATAAATGGGAAGTTTCCAGCTAAGAACTGCTGTCTATCCTATTTCCTATGGGTTTGGATCTTCTGAAATGGGAAGCTTATGAAGTGTCTCTGAATTGAGAGACAGAGAGATAAAAGAAGAGGGTAAAATAAAAGATGCGAATTCCATACATACTCTCACTCACTTGAGTGTCACTCTCTCTTCTTCAAAAGCCACTTTACAAGTTTCACACTTTCAAAAGATTCAAATCATATTTCCTACATTGAAAGTTTGAGGCACTCGAGCATGTGAAGCTAGAGCACGAGAGTGCATTAGTTAAATGGCTCAATAATGATGAAATTCAAAATTCATAAAGAAATCTATAACATTGCATTGTCTAAAGAGCATGGTACCAAGCAACTCACACTAGCCAAGTCGAGACTGGTACGAAATGATACGTCAGAGAAGGTCAAATAGGTCGCATATAAGCGCAGAGGGATGCTCCTCAATAGGTATACCTGAGTGAAAAGGAAGTTAATAATTTGTCTAATAATATATACGTTAAAATATTCCTCAATAGATGAAATGTTTGGGTTCAAATGGTTCTTGACATGGTCTTTATAGCTAAATGGTGGAAAGTTTAATATTTACTGCTCCTATCTCATATGAAATTAAGAGTTCAATTTTCTAGTCGAACTGATCTAGTGCGTAAGATCTCAGCATCTTGATCCACGTAGAGCATGTTGGATATACGATAATTTTTTTGTTATTGTTTTATACAAAACTATGGACTAGTGATGTGTGTTTAAGGCTTTAATAAGCTGCAGAGAAATACTCACCCCAGCATAAGCTGCCGCCCTAGGTAAGGTTGCTAGCTGTCCTGTTCCCTCTGCATATACACTGGAATCAATCAAAACAAGCTTTTCCACCTGAAAACATGAATTCCAAGTAATTGACCTGAGCACACCGCAGTCATTGGATGAAACTGCTTCAGAAGCTAAATTCTCAAATAACTGATTGATTTAATCTAACAATTTTTCATGAACACATACAGCTTCTGGATGATTGGCGGCAAAGTCAATGGCAACAGCAGAGCCAAGGCTTGGGCCTACCAATATCATTGGCCTGCTGATGTAGGATTTCCAAAACTGTCATAAATAAATCAGTTTCAGCTTTGACACAGTATAACAGTAAAGACAGCCATTTCTTTACATAGATAAACTACTATTTGGGTGATTGAAGATTCATGTTTCATGATTTAGTCCTTATAGATAATTAGGAAGCTAAAAAGTTTTGCCAACCCATCAATATGACCCTTGCCCCGAATTTATTCCAATACATAGGCCGTAATGATGGGTTTTTGAAAGTATTTGGAGTCAAATGACGCTAATCACTGGGGACTGAACGATGCAAAAAATGTTATTTTGCTCCAAATCACCTTAAAGAAGTACCTGATAGAAATGGTGGCGCTTGGATGCCACGTCGCAAAAGGGAAGATTTTCTGATGGATAACAAGAACAATAAACATAAAGCATCCCTAAAAATCTCTCACAGAGAGGGAAATAAGTGATTAAAGCAATTAGTAAGTGAAAGTACAGAGCAAACCTAAATCAGAGAAACCCCAACCAAGAATGTCAATGGCCCAGGTCTCAAAACCAGCTTCTTCAATCAATGGATAGGCATATCTCCATTCTAAACATGAGCTGCATTAATAGTATTGAGAAATTCAGAGGCGATTTGAGCATAAATATTTATAAAGTAATTTTTACAGATGTTAAGAACCTGTCAAAACCGTGCAGAAGAACTATTGGATTTGCCTTGTTCCGCATCTTTGGCTTCACGCAACTACTCATGATGGGATTTTCTGAGAAGTTAACCTGATCAGCACATATGAAAATAACAAGGTTAATAGTTTACAAGCAGCTGAAAAAAGATCGTGAGATGGGTTTAAGGTGCTTAAAACTGTGGACCGACCAGGCAGGGAATAATGAATAATCCTATTCACAGTGGAACAATCCCAGGCGATTTGGGATCTTTAAGTCCATAAGCATACGACAAGTTTCAATAGAGGCAACTAACGACCGTAACATGCAACAACTGACATACATATCTCCTTTTCGAATGCAACGTATAATGTTTTTTTAATGTAAAATTGGTGGAATCACAAAACTACATTCTCAGCTATGTCCTCCGAAAAAACAGGATTCTGCAACAAGGGGAAAAAAACCATTATTTCTTCTTTTGATATGGGAAAAAACCAATGTTTCTCGCATCTCTTCAAAAACTTCTAAACTATTCATAAATCAGTCGTGAATAGTATAACATTTTACCATACAGGTTTCATATTCATGCTATACACAGTATCTATTTTGAAATGAGAAAGATGAACAAAAATATATATAGAGTTCATTTTTGCAAGTTTCAATCATTTTCCCTCTCTTCATTTTTATCTCCATGAATTTTATTAAAAAAATTGAACAAAACGAAAAATTACACAAATACTCTGTTGTTCATCTTATGAATATAAAATATATAATGGCCTAAATTTTAATTTTATATTGACTAATATTATTTTCTTTCAGTTTGTAATTAAAAATATTTTTATTTTATGTTCTGTTCCATCTTAAAAAATTATTTAATTGGAAAAACACTAATTAAAAATCTCCACGGTAACTCAAAAAAAAAAAAAATCACTTTTACGCAAGTGAGAAACAAAACTTCTCATAGGGAGCCTATTCCTATAGCTGATTATCTAGCAAAGTTCTCCCATTCTATGGAGAGCAGTTTTTGTATCCTAAATCAACCGCCCCACATTGTGGAAGGGAGGTTGAGAGAGGAAACTAGGGCTCACCTTGTACTAGTGTTGTTTTGTAAGATTTTCAGTCTTTAATTAAAAAAAAAAAAACTTCTCAAACCACTTTTTTTTTTTTTGGTGATCCTCTAAATCTTCATCACAGTCCAAATTGATACTTGTTAGAGAGAGGACGTCCAATAAAAACGGAGAAGGACATGCTCTCGTCATAAAGGTACATCTCACACTAAACCAAAAAGTAAGTTTAAACATTTCTACTACTTTTGGAAATCCACAAACATTAATGCATAAGAAAGGTTGGTTTTCGAAAGCAATTATTACGATGGTCTATCACGGCCCCAAATAAAACAAAATACAAGCACTCGAGGGATAAAGAAGAACCATTGAACTCACAGAATGCAGTTATAACAGCAGTACAGTAACTATCATGAAATAACCCCTATTTGATTGCTAGAATGTCAATGAATCGGCATTACAGTCGATCAGGAGAAGAGTAAAGGAGCGAATAGAAGTTACAGGAACGGGAAGTCGCTGAATCCTCAGAGCGAAGTTCCTAGCGAAGGGATCTTTGATTTGTTGAACTTGCTTGGGGAGAAAAGAAGGAAATCCATGAGCGACAACGGCGAAGCGCGTCGGAAGAGGCGGGCGTCTCGTCGGCGCAGTCGGCAGCGCAGCAGAAGGGAGGGCAAGAAGAGCAAGAGCAAGCATGGCTGCGAACTGCAAATGGAAAGTGAACTAGTGAAGTGAGGCAGCGAGCTAAGTATGGGAATCACGAAGCAATGCGCATGACTGGAAATGTGACGGAAGCCTACTGGCGAGGGCGTCAGTTTTCACGTCCAGCTTTGCCCCTCTGCACCTTTTCTTCTTTTGGTTACTGTTTTACGTACATTTCCTTCCCTCTTTCTGCAATTGATTTACCGAATGGTGCCTGCGATGATTTACTTTTTTTGGTAAGAATCACAATCAAATCTCAAAAATAAAAAATAATCATTAAAAAATCTTAATAATAATTTGAATAGTCTGCTAATAAATAACAATTTTTAGAATTTATTTTGTAATTTATTTTTTTAGATTTTATTGTAATTCTTTTTTTTTTTGGTGGACTGAAAGTGTGACTCTTATAAAAAGAAAATTTTAACAGGGCTTCTTGTAATTTTTTTCTTTGTATTCCCTTTTATTAAAGAAAGAGTATTGAAAAAATATATTATGCATTTTGTCTGGACTATTTCCTTTATCCTACTACCTCCAATTTTTAATATAAGAGTTTGTTTAATTTTTATTTTGGTCCTAAATATAAGACCTCAATCTACTTTGTCTCTCATATTTATCTATTTTTTTTAAGATAATCTTTGTGGTAATGGTAGTTCTAACTAATATACTTTATTAGTAAGGATATTCTAAGAAAAATAATACATATTTATTACAAGTAATAAATTTAAAATTTTTTTTTAATCTACTCAAATTAGTTAACTAGCTCTTATATTAAAAAACGAAAGTAGTATTTAATACAAATAAAATTAAAAAATAATCATTAATTAGTTTATAAGTGACTTATATTTATGATTAAAATTTCTCCTACAGGTACAAGTGATATAAGTCACCTGTACAAAAATTTCTTAACTCACAGTATAAGTCATTTGAAAACTAATTAATATTTATTTTTTAATTTTTATTGCAATTAATACTTAAATGTATTTTTTCCCCAAAAAAATAAATGTATATGGCATTTATGTTATCATTCAATTTGAGTAAATACCATCAAGTCAAGCTATTTACATTTTACACACACGTGCGCTCCTACTGATATTAGACGTCTTTCTTATCTTTTTTTCAAGTGCAAGATTGAGATTGAAAAGGTATAATAAATGTGTGGCTTATGACTAGAAAGCTATATACACACAAAATGTAATAAGAATTCTAGCATGCTATTTGAAAGCCTATAATAATATATATTTTTTTGGCCAGCCGATCTATTATTTACTATTTCTCAATTTTCAATTACAGTCTACAAATTAGATTTTATATCAAGAATATGTAACATTAATATACTATTTCTTTCTCTTAATATAAAAGCTAGATAAATTATTTGCGAATATTAAAAAAATTAGTTACGTTAACTATTCATAATAAATAGATGTGATCTTGTCTAAAATATCTTTATCAACCATATATACTGAAACTATCTCTAATGAAAATGGCAGCATATGTGTTGTGTGCTCTAGTGTTACAGTCGTCGATGCAAAATCTCAACCTGCTGAGCCAGTCAGCAACGCACCAGGAGCCAAGATGCAGTAATGAAGCGGGGAAGAGGCCAGTCGCTAGTACCTAAAATTTCATGCATCTAGGCTATAGCTTGCGTTTTAGCTTTGCCTAACATGAAAATAGCATAAGAAGAGGCAAAACCAAAACATGAAAATAGCATACTTCACTTTAAATATTGTATGGACAGATAAATGTATGAAATGAGTTTTTATGTCAACGCAGAAAACACTTTTTCAAGTCAAGGATTTGCTAAATAAGTACAAACACCCTAAGACACAAGGAAAGAGAACGGGTTCCTGTTTCAAGTGAGGAATCGCAAGTCCCATCGCGATGATCATGTGAATTCTGCAAAATCAGCTTGACTCTGAAGAATAAATTTAAAAAAGATTTTACTAAAAAGTAGTAAATGCAGTATATAGCATTTATTTTATCGCTCTACTTGAGCAAATACTAAGTACCGAGAGGTCAAGCTATTCACACACACATACATTCTAATAGGAATGCTAACGCGCTATTTAAAAGCTTTTTGTAGTTTTTTGGGCCAACTAGTCTTCTATATTTATAGTATTCATACCGATTCTAAATATAAATATATTTTGTAATATAATTATATTATAAAGTAGATTTTATATTTAAAATTAGAGATGATATTTCTCAAGTTTTTAAACACTGCATTACAGATATAATAGAGATGTTTGGGTATCTAAAAATATTTTTAAAAAATATTTTCACACAAATTCATTACATGTTTATTTTGTATACCGTAAAATTATTTTTAAAATTATTGTTTGGTTTTCACCTAAACATTCTAATAATATCATTATAAATGCGTTTGAGATTTGCCTAACTTGAAAATAAGACAAATGATTTATCTATGGTTAATTAGATTAGAATGGTATATAAGGTGCTCAAGTGACAATGCCTGCCACCACGCTTGAATAATGTCCCAAACTCAAATTTGATGTCCGCATGAAAAAATAGTTAGAATAGTATGGGGAAGTCTCAAAAATGAACCCTGATAAAAAAAAAATAGTTGAATAAAAAAAAAAGATGTCTGAAACAATTTTTAGATAGCTAACCTTTATCACTTTAAATTGAAGCACTTTTTTTTTTTACTTTTATCTTTTCATAAAATTTGAGCCTTTTGAATCTGATTTTTTTAAATATATTATCTAAATAAAATTCTATGAAACTGATTTTTTTTTTGCAAAATTTTATTCAAATATAAATCACGCTAAAAATGAAAATTAAATATAAAAAATAACACTATGAGCACCAAACAATAATTTTATACTATAAATTAATAAATTTAGTTAAAATTAGTTATTTCTTGTAAAATTCAATATCAAAACACCCTCAATAAAAGTTAGTATTAGTTAAATGAGTTTAGTTAATTAGTTAGTAAATTATGATTAGTGTTTTTTTTGCCAGTGTAAATTTTATGATTAGTTAGGATACTAGATGGAAAAAGTTAATGTTTTAGACGGAACATGCATGCCTTGTTATGAATAGAGGAAGTAATGTGTTAACCATGTACTCCCTAATGCCCGAGGACAATACGGTCATAAAATACTTACATTGTATCTTTATTGTCTTATGTATTTATATATCCCAAAAAATAACCGTATAAACATGTGCAATTCTTGAAGATAAAATACCACTAAAAAGTCAAAAACATCTATGGCGAAACTGGGAAAGACGAAGAGACGCGATCGGGCGAGACGAAGCTCCAACTAAGGACGGTGTTCGATAGAAGCATGGTCATAAAATATTTAATTAGCTGGTCGGATCATTTTTTAATGGGCCTTTGTCGACCAGCACCTGCCAATGACATGTCGCTTTTTTCAAATAAAACTAATTTCTTTAGACCAAAGGGAAACAAGTTATTATAGCAAATCATGTTTAGAATTACTTATAATTACGTTTTACATGAGATGAGATAAAGCCTTTTCATATAGGCCTACGTTTGGAGAAAAGGTAAGGGGATAATTTTCTCCTTGCTTTTCGACTTTCTCCTTAGAAATTTCCCTGACTCTTCAAAGCGCCAGGTGTTGTATCTTATATTCTTATGTCATCTTTTTTTTTCCCCCCGAGTGAAAAGAGGAATTTTTTATATTTACAAGAAAGCAGAGTACAACAAAAAAAATCAAGAACGCAGGAGCTATCCTAGGGAGACATTAGCATGGAAGTCTCTTGCCGCTTAATATGTTCACTAAAGGATAAAACTTCATTCACAAGACTATATGCCCAGGGTCTCATTGCTAAAAGTTGTTTTTTGTGAGCATCTCAAAGTTTCCAAACGAGTGTTCCAAAAGCACCGCGCCAATCTTGGTTCGAGCTTCCAAACTTGAGGTTCTCTTCCATCCGCTAGTTGGAGGGGCAGTTGAAGAATTACGACCAGTATGGAGTGGGGATTATAAGTTTCTAACAGGCGGAAGCGAGTATACATTCCCAAAGGACATGATTTGTGTCTTTGGAGGCTTTCCCCCAAATTTCACATGTGTCATGCTGGATCACATGACGTTGGAGCCTCGTTCTCTTCGTGAGTGAGTTGCCTTTTAAAGCAAGCCATATAAAAGTTCTGATGTGTTGAGGTCTAGGCCATTTCCACACTAGATTCCAACATAAGTTTTCCTCATCCCGGTCATCTTGCTTTGTTAAACGATTGGCATATTTGACTGTGAGGGAATTATTAGGCCCCAGCCACCAACTATGGCCATTAGGAACAAAAGTATCTGTGGGTAGCTTGAACTCTTCTATCTTCTTAAGAATATCTGGTGGTAGCAAATGGCCGAAGTCTTGCCACCTCCATGAACCATCATCATCAATGTAGTGGTGGATTGTCTTTTGTTTACTTGTCTCATCTATCTGCATGTAGGGTAGCTGACATAAAGGGCCATAATCACCAATCCAAAAATCAATCCAAAATCTTGTTGTTTTGCCATCTCCTATTTTCCACTTGATTCCGAGTTCCATCTCTTGCCATAAGACCATGAGGTTTCACCATAAGTAAGACGCATTGGCTTGCTTACGGGCTCCTCCATTAGTCCATCCATATTTGGCACGAATTATCTGTACCAACAAAAATGAGGCTGGGTTTTGATTGTATATGCCAACTTCATGCGAAACGTTGTATTTGGACCTGAAAGGTCCTTGAGTTCGCTGCCTCTATTAGATTTGGGCTGGCACATTGATTCTCATTTTATTAGAGGCACTTTTCTTTGCGTGTTAGTGGTTTCCCACACAAAATTTCTAATGTAAGCTTGAATCCCTGCATAGGTGGCTGTTGGAATGCATGTTGTTTACATTGTATAGAAGGGAATCATAGAAAGAATCAATTGGACCCATGTAATGCGTCCCACTAAGAATAGCGAATTCGCCATCCATCCTGATAGCTTCTTGCAAACTCTTTCCTCTATGTAGTGGTACGTGTCACTGGTCACCCGATTATGGAGTAGTGGAACACTAAGATATCTTCCTACTTGGTCTGTTCTTTGAAACCCTAGAGTGATGCAAATGGAGGTGGCTGTTTATGGCGTGTCATTCTTTGAGAAATAAATTCGGGT